AATTATGATGTAAAATTACATTTACATGCAGAGAAAAGTAGTGAATTTATGTTTTGAATATTTTCGTGGTAAACGCGCCATCTAGCCGTGCAAGGTGGGAACTATTTCACGACAAACTTGGGCTGTTCGCCGAGGATGGCGCCACATTTTTCGGAATTTTTATTTATTTAAAAAACTTAATATTAGTCAATTTTTATTGTAGAAATCAACAATTAAACGTTGAATTACGGTAATTACTATGTAAAATTATATGAATATGCAGAGAAAAGTAAAAAATATGAATACATATGAAAAATTAGTTCGGCCTCTGCCGCTAGATGGCGATACCGTTTCACTGTCCATGAAATGCATTTGCGGACCAGTGTCGGGAAATAGCCGCCCGCTTATTACAAAGCTCCTCACGTTTCTTTTAAAAGGAATTATAAGGCATTCAATATAAACATATCAATTCAAGACCTTTAACAATAAGTAATTTAGGATTATATATCACGTATGTGCGTTTGCTCGGGTGTCTTGCTTAGCCCGAGAAAGACCAAAGCTTCTAAGAGCTATGAACATTAACGATTCGATTAAAAACATTGAAATGGAAAAGCTATCTTAACTCGAAAACTATTGATCGGTTTAGCTTTGAATCAAGTATCGATATTATTTAGCCATAAGTATTCGCCTAGCGTTCCAAACAAATAAACAACGGTAGAATCGATGACGAAGAGTATCGGGAAGATGTACGACTAACGAGCACAATACACTCGTTTGCAGAGGTGGAAGCTCTCTGCGGATATGTGGATTTCCTATGGTCCGGTATACAGTCAATGTATATTGTAAGTGGCTGCGGTATTCGGCTAGTCAGATCGATGAGACGCCGTCGTCGTGGCGCCTCGTAAACGCCCAGCCTCTGCCCTCTCGATAAAATCGTTTTTTGGGGCCCGTTCAAGTTTCTACAACGTTCTACGGGGTTAAAAAGACTCTCGTAACCTTTTTTTAACTTTTAATGCATCAGTGGGATATTTGTTAACTCACCTAAAAGAATTCAAGTTTACTTCACGGTCGAAGCGTTTAATATTTCACTTAATTAACGCAGAATGTTAAGTAAGCGAATATAGTGATTTATAGGGCGCGGCGACAAATTCGACCTTTTAATAAAATACTATAAAAACTTTATTTCTTCAAGAAACCAAATTTTAGCAACGAGGGTTTGTGAACAACGCCTCTGTCTATAACGTACTTAATTGGTTTCGGAGTGGCAAGTCACTCTTTGTTACCTTCTTAGTGGCGAGTGTGAGCCACCGGTGAAACACACCGTCTGATGAGAGATATTAGTGCGACCCACTGGCCGTTATTCGCCAGCGTTGGAGAATTCTGAAAAAAATACATTTGCCAAATTTTCTGCCGCACCCTGTACAATACAAAACGTGCAAACGTTTCATCGAGACAGAAACAAAGCGGTCGCATAGACGCGGGTACACGTGTCGGGGCGGGTCCGAGTTAAATGAAAAAAAGTAGGTAATCGAAGAATAATTCATTTAGCGCTCATTATGCAGACGTTGCAAGGAGGGACGAGTAACCGTGCTTTATCGTACGAGAAGAATTTGAAATCTTCGGAAGGAGGCCACGAGATTTACAGGCGCTGGAAGTATCGCGTCACGGACACAGGAGTGCGCCGATACACAAATTTTCAAGTAATTCGACAAACGTAGTAGCGAAACGCCGACGAAAATATTTAGGTGCTCGCCGCGAGTACGTAAACCTAAGCGCGCGTAAGTGGTTGTATTACTGAACAGGGGAAAGCCTCGTGTCTCGCTACGCCTCGCCAGGCTTTTAGTCACGGACTCTTTAATTAGTATTTTAATTGCGCCAGGACTCGGCACAAGTTCTCAACACGCATTCGCGCGAAACGTGCAATTTGAAATTCATATGCCATGCAAATTTGATACAAAAGTTAGACAAAACGGTGTAGCGATTCGCTCGACTCCGTCGCGACTTGTAGCGTGTGCACTCGTTTTCTCCTGTACGCAACGCGATCATTTTCGAAAAAGTTTCGAGATCAGAATAACTATCATCGATTGGGGGCATATGATTGAGTACGATTTTATTTGGCATCGCTTATTCGATGTTTTATTCGGGTTTTCGTTACTCGATGCTTTCCTACGAATGGTACCATTATTATTATTTTGCGCTGAGAAGGAATAATTTCCTGCGCAACGATAATCTAAATACAGTACTGTCTCGAAATAAGCAACTCGCTATCTCCATCTTTTTGTTCGAAGTCGCCCATGAAGTCGATGTGAAAAGAATTCGATTTTACTAAAATGAAAAAGCGTGTTACGATCCTTCTCCAAAGAATAACACTCGAGCGATCAGTTTATCGTTTGCTACTACACCGAACCCCCTGTTTTGTCTACGGGTTCCTCCTCGTCACGCTCGAGAAGAAAGTCGAGCCGAATTATTCGGATAGCATACCTCTCTCGAGATAAGGAACTCGCCGGTCCCGACCGAGTTGCTTATTTCGAGACAGTACTGTATATCTGCAATGCAGACGTTTGTCGAGTCGGTTAGATAATCCCTCGGAACGTAGGTTCGTCGTCTCGAGGTATCGTTCGTCGAGTTTCGTTCGTCGCAGAAAACTCACGGTTACTTTACGATTATGGTCGCGCTTGCGCCCGCTCGCGTTCGTGCCTTTTTCGAAAGGAAATTTCGTCGTGCTACTCTCGCGCGCACCGAAACGTCATGCGGTTGACGTCGCGACGCCGACGTCTCGCGTGCACGCATTTGACGAGGATACTGCGAACAGGTATGCGGAAGGTGCGAGGACACGGCCAGCATCGCCGTCGCGACGGAAGATGGTATCCCCGACTCGAAGAGATGCTATATTTCGGTTTCCGATGTTCGTAACACGGTTAGTAAGGGATGCCGGTCAATACCAGCGCTGCGCACTATGCCACAGTGCCGTGATAATTCTGGATCGTACCCCGATCACGCTTCTCTTCGCTCGGAATCACTTTTCGTCGAGAATATTTACTTCGAGAAACGAGAACAATCATAAAGATATGATATTACGTAAATTAGATCTGAACGAGATAATACAGGGTACGGCGGAAAATTTGACCTGTAAATTGTACAGTTCCTGGCCACCGAATTGGGACCACTAATTTTAAGCAATTTTCGCAATTTTCCGTAAAATTAAAAAGCTTGAAATCGTACAGATATAATTTATTAACTACTAACGTGATACGCTACTACTGTGCATAATATTCTTAACACGCGTTAATATCTTGCATTTCCACCCTTTGCTTTAATGACGGCTTGCATCCATCGTTTCCCCAAATATTTGGGAATAAATCGTTATCCCTGTAATTTTTGTTTTCAATTGTGACACTGTGGTGCGTGGAGATTCGTAAAGTTTTCTTTTAGGAAGGCTCCAGACATTTTCAATAAACGCTTGTCACCCACACGACTTGATTATTACCACGATAGTAGTAAATGATAGTAGCCAATTGTTATATATAAGTGAAATTTTCGTACGCGGTCGTAATTCGATGGCCAGGGATTGTGTTCGACCTAGCATGAAAGCATTTCAAGTTTGGAATTTGTTCACACTTCTGTTCGATTATCTATTAAAAAAGATATGTAAATATATTTCTTTCGGAAGTTTCCAACTTGCTTAACACGTTCATGCCAGCATGTACCACCGGTGGCTCGCGCTCGCGTGTCTATCAGATGGCGCGTACCACCGCGCCGCCCCGTGGTGAGAAACAGAAATAGCAGCGCCGGCGCGAATGGCGCAATCGTTGCGCCAAAAATGGGATCGAATCTCAGCGGACAAGGTGCGCGCCGCGGCCGAAAATTTCCGAAAACGTTTAACGCTCTGAAAAAAATCACAAGAAAGATTGTCTTAACATACTTTCTTCAGATGTCTAACAATATTGAAAAAATTGGAGCAATCGTTGCGTCGAGAATTGGCTCGAATCTCGGCGGAGAAGGTGCGCGCCACGGCCGGAAATATCCGAAACCAATTATTTCTGCCATTATTTAAAATACGATTATGTATGCTACAAATTTCTATCTAAACAATTTTGCATTTTTTCGAAGAGTACCATAGGAACTTTATTTCGTTTCAATAAACAAATTACGTACGCTTATATTTTTATACCCGCCAGTCTTGGGAATTGGTTCGCCAGTTTCGACACAATTTGTCCACATGGACGTGTACAATTCCACCATTGGGATTTCGGGCGCGGAGCTGTCGAAAAATGGAACAAATAGATACTGCAGGTCATCTTGATGTACGACACCTCACATTTTTTTTAAGTGATTGTATATGAATTGTGATACATACGAGAATACGACATCGAGGCAGGATGAAAACTCGGTGTATGGGAAAGAGTGCAATGGAAAGATACACAGGGTGTCTTACATCATCTGTTATGAAGGTATAACTCCAAAGCTGTCGACGTATCGAAGAAAGTTATGGAAGATTGGACCTCGAAGAATACCATAGGAACTTTATTATATCCCAAAAAACAAATTTTAACAACAAGGGTTTGTAAACAATACCTCCGGCCATAGGACACTTAATTGGTTTTGGTAGTGGCGAGTCACTACTCGTAACCTTCTTAGAGGCGAGCGTGAGCCACCGATGGAACACGCCGCCTGATATATTAGTGCATCTTCTTAACGGCGCTTCGGAGTACATTTTCGCTAATGAAAAAGTTGTTTCAAATCACTCTCCGAAACACCCCTTTCAAGGAACTCCAACATTTTTTGGGGCACCCTGCGTGGTTTCATTTGAAAAACGCAACTTAACCATCGTATCTCGTTAAATAACAGACTGAACAAAAATTCCTCAATATCTGTTCTTCAAGAAGGAATTCTTTCCATTTTTTGACAGCTCCGCGCTTGAAATCCCAATGGTGGAATTGTACACGACGAATTTCGTCGAAACTGGCGAACCAGTTCTCAAAAGACTGGCGCGTATAGAAATATAAGCATACGTAATTAAGCTACCTAAACGTAATCTTTTCAGAATCTTCAACTTCTTCAAAACGTTCACGCCGGCGAATATCTCCAGGCGGCGTGTTCCATCGGTGGCTCGCGCACGCCACCAACCCTCGTTAAAATTTGTTTCTGTGAAAGAAGGAAGGATCTTACTCCCGTTTCCTGCCTCCATAGCGACCCATCGTTTTCCGTCGAACATTCTCCCGTCCATATTCGATTGACGGAAACAGATCCTCCCCGCATTGCGACAAATGGGCATGACAAGCATGAAACGTGTCATAACGTGTTTGTTTCCCTTGTATCGTACACTTTATTTCGTACGACAGTCGGATCTAATTCTGGGACACCGCGGTAATTGTCCCCATGGAGTGCAAAGGGTCCTAGGACTGTCGTACGCGAAACGATCGCTGCCAGCTGAAAACTTGGAACGAATTTTGCGCGAAACTATCTCTTTCGCCGTGCTGGCAAAGCGACTCGAGAACGAACGATCGATTTGAGAATTGGCATGCTCCTTCGGCAAACCTTCCCTTCGTTACCGGAATATTTCGACTTCCGGAAAATCGTACGAGTGATGCAAATAAGCCTTTACTTTAAATAAACATTATAAATAAGCGTCGATAGGATTGGTCTCGTGTCCTCGAAAGAATCGTCTTGCCCGGACGATTTGTGCGATTAATTTGTGCGTGTATTGAAACCGGCGATACCCCCTCGTGTTGCTACGATGCGCCGGCCGGCGCAATGGCTGGCGAACGTATCGCGTGCTCCTTAGCTGGTCATTATTTCACCTCGTAACATTTTCCCCCAAATAACCGCGCCCGTACTGCGGAGTACGGTCCCAACGTCCGAATCCTCTCTCGTTCTTGCTCGTTTCCGGCGCAAATCCTTTCCCTCGATACTGGCGGCTTCTGACGGCGTGTCGCGTCGCGCCGGCCGGCTTGCCGGTCGCGTCACAGTCGGTCACGCACACATCCGCGAGACCACGTTGCGCGTACAGTCGCGCAGTCGTACCACAACCGCTACGTACACGTACTTGTCCCGGTATTAGTACGCGCCTACCTTCCCCGTAACACATCAAAACGTATCTACCACATTGCGACGTTTCCGACGATGCGACGTTGTGTTGTAGACCGACGCGTCGAGACGGCGAAGGCAGGTCGAACTGCGGCGACGCGCGCCGCTAGTGGGGATACTGGAACGATCGCAAGGAAGGGGATGACTCTGCGTGGCAGCGACGCAGGATATCGTCAAGTTCGTCAGAGAGCCGGCAGCCCGCACCGCGAGTGTTGCTGCCGAGTAGATTTCGAGTTCTGTCGTCGACCGAGACGCAGGGAGAAGAGACATTCACGCGAATCACAGCAGACAGGCGACCGTCGCTGTCGTCGTCGACTCCTACGTCGGGAAGACATCACGTCCTCTCGGGTTCGATCCACGTATCAGTGTCGCCGCGACCTACGACGGTTCTCTTTCTCTCGCGTACACCCTTCGCGAATTCGCGAATTCGCCCGTCGGTATCCCTTTGCCCTTCTCCTCTGCCCCACCACTCTTCGTTCCGTCTTTCTCCTCTTTGCACGCGCCACGGTACACCAAGAAGACGAGGCGGGTCGGGCGGAGCGGCTCCAACCTTAGACGAGGAGTCAGACCGTTGGGAGACAGGCTGTCTTCGATTCGCGCTACGGGTTTCTTCGACGGACAAGATACGTTGCTCTTGCTGCGGCATCGCGCTTTCCGTGGAAGGAGAAGCCTTCCCGGATACTTGCCTCGCTGATCGGAAAGTTGAAACAGGGCAACCGTGCCACGTAACAAGGTAAGCGTTCGATATATTTATTAGAGCAGTTTAAGCTAGAGACACGATCCAACGGCGGTCGAAAATTGGGCAAGTTTCATCGAACGATCGCTCGGGGAACGGATATAGGCTGGGTTGCGGAAGGGGTTGTTACTAAGGGCTAAACTGCAATGCCGGTACTCGGAGGGGCGACCGTTCGAAGCTATCACTCCAATTTCGAATATCGATCGGCTCCTGCGATTGGTGTATTCTTCCTTTCGACAGGATCGACGCTCGATCGCGATTCATCGATCGCTCCGGTAACGATTCGATCGACTCTAAGTCGGTCCTCGATGGAGGACTTTTCAATCGGAAGTTCCCCTTTATAGATCCGAATTCGAATCGAAATCGATAAACGAGAACGAGTTTCCGATGTCCTGCTTTCTAGTCGGCTAGCCAGAATTTGGATCAATGATCTAAGGCTGAGCAGAGAGGCTCGGCTCCTGCGCATTGGACGCTAGGACGTAGCCCTACCGTTTTTCAGGGAAAGAGTCGCGCGAATCCTGCGCAATATCCAGCGCCAACGTTTTCCGCATGAAATCGCGGATAGTCGTTGCGGCGACCCGTTCGTAGAAATTCTTCGACGTTTCCTTCTTCGGTAAGATCGTATCGCGAACGGCTACGCTCGATCGACGGTACCGTCTCGACGCTCTGCGATCGCGTTAGCCGCATCGGAATCGTTATTTCCGCGGCGACTGACGATCCTCGCGAACGATATCGCCTGCTCTCTTTTCCGAAACGCGAACATTTCGACGAGAATTTTAAGTAAAAATTTTATCGACGCGACGCGAGAGAAACACGCGCACCGTCATCTCAAATTTACCTATGCGTTTGCATAGGTGCGCGTGTACGCGTATCCAGACGTTCGTCGTATCCTTCTGTCCGTCGAATATCAAATTTTTACCTTCTTCGAATTTTCTTCGATCGTCGAATGGAACGCGAATGCATTTCGGAAGAAGAACGGCTTGTAGTTTCGTTCGCTTGTTTCCAGCTTAGTCAACGTTTAACGTGCCGCACACTCAATTATAGCGAAGAGAACGCAACGTGAGAATCGCTTTAGGATCGGTAACAGTGGAATCATAATGTCATATGTCAGCCGCGGTGACGGACCAGCGACAGTAGATTCAGCGTGTCCGCGCGTCACGGCACAGACGACTACGGCTGTGCCGAACCTTGTAGTCGCCGCGTTGATTATCGATTCAAACGTTCGGCGAAACAGCTTCGACTATTTTTCTCACACAGAGATCTTAAATCGAGATCTTAAATAGAGATGTTAAATCGAGAGCACTGAAATCGAGAGCACTGAAATCGGGATATTCCACTGATCTTGTACCTGTGCATTTTTAGTAATGAGTACCACGGATCCTACCGGCGAGGGCGGAGGGGGAGGGGAGACGGCTGCAATATCATCGACGAATATCGAGCAAAATATATCTCCGATTACACCGGTGACCGGCAGCGCAATGCCACCGGGCTCTCAACAGCAACATCCACCGCCATCGCCTCTGAGTGGCTGTTACCTTCTCGTTGTGCTTCCAGAGCCTCATACCGCGCAACATAAAGATCTCATCTTGAACCGCCTCTCGAAAGGTAAGTACGCCTGTCTTACCAAAGCGACGGCTATCACTTTTTCTTCCGTTTACGTTTTTGCCACCTTCTTCTCATCTAATCTTCGCGGTCGACCGACTATCGCGAACGCCTACGTACGGATACCCGAAGAAAGATCTACGTTTAACCATTATTAACTCATTCGCGTCACTAGCACATACAGAGTGTCGTAGAAATTTTTGAGTTCCTTGAAAGGGGTGATTCGGGAGGTGATTTGAAGCAACTTTTGCCTTAGCGAAAATGTTACGCGAGGCTTCGTTGAGGAGATATTAACGGAAAACCTCGACCAATCAGAGCGCGAGTATGCCGGTGGAGCGCCCGCAGTGGCGTAGGCTACGCGCTCTGATTGGTCGGGATTTTCTGTTAATATCTCCTTAACGAAGCCTCGGGCAACATTTTCGCTAAGGCAAAAGTTGCTTCAAATCACCACCCCTTTCAAGGACGTCTAACATTTTTCAGAAAATGCGCGCAATTTATTTGGAAATTGAATTCAAATAAAATATCGGTGATAAGAACGAATTTTCCACTTTTTCGTTTGATGCAAATGGGTTAACCCTTTGCACTCAAGAGGTGACTCTCAGTCACCGGTAGGTTTCAGCAAATCTACCAGTTATAATGTTTCTTTAGGTTTAGTTTCTTTGGAACTCGAAGTGCCGATAGAATGACAATCGGGCTACGTCTTCGAAGAGAATCCAAGCTTAGCATTCCTGGCAATAGAATGAACAAATTAAGAAAACGTCTCGAATTACTGGTAGATACCAGAAGAAAGGCCTCGAGTGCAAAGTGTTGACCCTTTATTTACCGAATTTCTCAAAAGTTTTTAAAATCTAGACGTCCATCTTGGTCTTATATAATCTTATAGAGCATCTTATAGAGTTGTCTCACGCTTCCAAAAGAAGGAAAGCTGTTGCTGCCATCCGACAATTAAAAATGAACTCATAGAACTGGACTGTAAAAGTCCCAATAGGTTTCAAAGCGTGCAATTAATACAGTACCATGAGAAAATTAACTGGGAACCAATAAACAAAATAATATAGTTTTTACAAACGAATTCTATTCAGACACTTCGAAGTCTCAGAGAGGATTCACTATCGAGACTGTCTTTCAACTGACACTCCAACCGTCGAACTCGACTTTCGGCGCGGGTGTTTATATTACCAGACTAAATACAATATTTAGATCCAATTAATTCAACAGTGACGTACACATCTTAACTGTGTAATGTCTCGGTTAAGAAATAACAACGTCGACGACGGTTGGCAGCCACCACTAAATATCGAACTGCCTTGCGAGTTGTTTGTAAAAAAGATTCGACGTGTAGAAGATTAAGTGAACAGATAAAAAAATATATAACAAAGATAAATAACAATAGCAGACTCATCGCCCCTCACTTCTAACAACTAAAGAACCGCGAGGACTTTATAAGAAATGCGATTCATTTTTGTTATCGGACTAAATACAACATTTAGATCCAATTAATTCAACGAGACTTACAAGTCACTTCCATTAAATAAAGTGTTTCAAAAGTGTCTCGATAACGATAACAATTACGATTGCAATTACCCTTTCGATTACATTCGCATTCGCTGCGTTACTTCCGTGCATGGAACCGAGCAATAACGGTTCTCTTCGCCGCGCGTATTCCTTCCGATTTATCGGACGGGCTTACCCAACAACTTACGCGTCCCCTCTTGTTGCTAGGCGGAGTTCAAGCGAACGTTGGTTAGGAAGAAATTCGGCCGGCACGTGGATCGTTTGTCCGCCATTAGTCAGTCGCTGGTTACCAAGTTTCGCGAACCATCGATGCGTCACCGCTAGACGGGTATTTCATGCGAATTTCGAAATGAAAATCTCACGAGGCGCGAAACTGATAACGAACGTACAGCTGTCTAAGAACGAAGCACGTTAGGGGCAATGTACCGATCGGACTTATACTCACAGCACGAATACTTATGCATTGTTTATACGGAAAGGGACAACGTTTCCAGTCGGTCCGCGACAAACCGCAAACGGAGCGTGAAAATTTTCACGGTGACTTTGTTTCGCGCCGCAAATTTATCCACGACGCCGCCTGCATTTATGCGTAACTGTTCGCCGACACTCGTCTTCGATTCCGATCGTTCCGGTGACTAACTCAGTTTTCGGATTTCTTTTCTTCCGATGGACGCGAGGAACCGTGCGCGTATTTATAGACTCGAAACCATCTCATTTAAGGAACTCGCTTGTAAATCCCATTCGCGTTTCTGAAATCTTTTCGTTGACGCGGTGTACTACGAGTCGTTGCGGTGTACAACAAAGCAAAGGAATTGCAACGAGGGTGGATATAGTCTTTCGTCGACTAGCTCGATGAAAGTGTCGCGTCGAAAGGGGATCGAGGATTTCTAATTATATATTTTTAAGAGACTCGAGGTTACTCGAGTCTCTTATCTGGTCGCGCGTTGCACGGCGTGCGAAATTCTAGAAAGGGAAGAAAGAATAGTCCGAACGCGAAATCGGGAAAATAGAGAAAGCCGTAGGGTGAAGGAAAGATTGTGTAGCGGTAGGTTGGTGCGGCATGCGCATGTTAGTACCAGTCTACAGTCACATCCCCGCAGTCCCCAGAACTTCGATCAATAATCCATCCACTCGGTTCGTAGTGAAAACTGTCGCTAAGCCGAAATGACGACATTATTTCGTCACTCTGTCGTGCGGTTGAATGAGTAATGATAGTATATGCACGGGTACTAGAAGCGAAGGGAGGAAAGTGGAAAAGGGACCGAATAGGTGCACGCGAGGTATGACAGGGCACGGAGGGAAATGCGAGACGAGGGTGAAAGTGGAAGGGGGAATTGCAGGTGGCGGGAAGAAGAATGGATTCGAAGAAGGAGGAGGAAACGAGGGCGAGTAGGATCGAGAACGTTTCGAGTTCTTTGATTAGCGAACTAGAGCGTGATAGTTATTTTTTCTGTCGTCATCTACTGATCGGGTGGTTCGTTCTCTATGACCAAAAAGTATCGAAACGTTTTCGATTGTACGCCATCGTTCCGTATGCGATGGGCGCGGTGCGAACGTGCTAATCGACGGATTTTGTATGACTCGTTCAGACGTGTATGTATACAGTCAATCCCGTTGATATTCGTACCCTCTATGTCCAGAGAAGACGTTTGACTAACAAGGGGAAGCTCAGGTAACTCGACCTGGGATTTCGATGCCAATTTTTTTTGGTTATTCCGAAGGTTACAAAAGGGGATACGTGTCTCGGCGTTTGGTCGAATAGGTCTTAGTTTCTCGGAGTAATAAATTTGTGAAAATTGAATTTTTTGTTCTAATTCAAAAAGTCACATTCCGATGTTAATTGAAATTCCGATGTTATTTTAAAAACTAGAAATTTAAAATACTATTATTGTTATTTCCAATGAAATTTTAAATTTAGTTTATTCCTCTTCCCCTGTTACTGATTATTTTAAAAGACTAGAAATTTAAAATACTGCTAATATTATTTCTAATGGAATTTTAAATTTAGACAATCGACAATTTGAATACGTTTATCTTACCCATTATATGTCACAAAAATCGAATTCCATTGAAAAATTCCATGCGTAAAGGATGTTACTTTTAAGGATGCATTTTGGGGGCGTAGTCCATTAAAACTCGATTAGAAGTGAATATCATCAATATTTTACGTTAGATTAGGTCCCATATTTAAATCCAGTCGCCGCAAAATCGTAGATACCTATTCACAAAAAACTTTAGATACTACACATTGACTTCTGCCTATAGATGTGCGTCTGCGACATCACATGCGTCAGACTGTCTGTATATACACGTGCAGATACGTCGTCGAGAGATTCGGCACGACCGCGACCGGAAGAAGGCTGGACGTAAATTGATTTGCGTGCAACTTAGTTTACGTTAATCGGTAACAAAGCGACGATGACTTTAACGAATCGATGAGAAAATATAGGGCGCTTATACCTGAGATTATAATCTCGACGCGTGTTTCGCGACTACGAGCAAAAAAGTTTGGAGACAACAGAGCACCGCCGTGTGATTGGGTATGCATAAACATCGGTGTGCGTTAATGTAAGGTAATACGGTCATGAAAGGTTGATGTGATAATACGTGTACAGTTATACGTACAATGTGCACGTACTCACAGATATCGCACGAGTATCGACACATACGCGTGGTAGGAAGGCATACTTGTCGGCATGAATCACGATTGAGGACGTGGGGAGCATCGAGAAAGTTGGAGTTACACGATGCTTGTAATATCCGGAAGAACCCGCGCACAGAGGGATCCGTTTGATCGCATCGCGACATTGTACGTGTACACAACGGTAACGGGACCTTCGATTTTTACGATGCGATCGATTTTTCAAATAAATCGAATCGGACGGACGACCGGGAAACGCAACGTATCGCGTCGCGGGTGGCGAGAATACGAATCGGAGGCAGGATGAAAACTCGGTTTATCGAAAAGGGTGCAATGAAATGATACACAGGGCGTCCCACATCATCTGCGATGAATGTGAATCTGTCCTGGTTGCCCTTTTAGTGGCAAGCGCGAGCCACCGGTGGAACACGCCGCCTGATATGAGACATATTAGTGCATCTCCTTAACGAAGCCTCGGACTACGTTTTCACTAAGAAGAAAGTTGTTGCAAATCACCTCCCGAACCACCCCTTTCAAGGAACTCCAACATTTTTGGGGCACCCTGTCTGGTTCCATTTGAAATACAAAACTTGACCAACATATCTCGTTAAATAACAGGCTTAACAAAAATTCCTCCTTGCTAAAACATGCTTCCAATTTGATCGTGTAATTTCCATATTAACAAATTTGCATACAGCCGATAGCTTTGGAGTGATAGCTTTATAACAGATGGTGTGGGACACCTTGTAGATATTTCCCATAGAATTACGCGAAGTTCGGTAAACGTTCACAGCGACTGTTATAGTTTCATCGTACGTGCAACTGAATATAGTGTGTCTAATTTTAC